TTTTTTCCCCAGAGTCTTTCTCTGTTGCCAGGCTGGAGTGCAGTGGCACGATTTCGGCTCACTGCAACTCCACCTCCCGGGTCCAGGTTCAAGCAATTTTCCTGCCTCAGCCTCCCGAGTAGCTGGGATTACAGGTGTGGGCCACCACATCAAACTAATTTTTGTATTTTTAGTAGAGATGGGGTTTCACCATGTTGGTCAGGTTGGTCTTGAACTCCTGCCCTTGTGATCCACCCACCTTGGCCTCCCTAAGTGCTGAGATTTCAGGCATGAGCCACTGCGCCTGGCCCGCCCAGCCTAATTTTTTAATTTTTAGAGACAAGATTTCACCATGTTGGCCAGTCTGGTCTCAAACTTCTGACCTCAAGTAATCCACACTCCTCAAGCCTCCCAAAGTGCTGGTATTACAGGCATGAGCCACTACGCCTGGCCAGGAAAGCTTTCCCTAACACACACTCCACAGCAGTTATCACAAATTTTAGTTCATCATTTTGAGTAAATTTAAGTTTAATATCTGCCTCCATCACCAGGCTGGGGCTTCTCAGGGGCAGAACTTAAGCCTGTCTCAATCACTGCCGTGTCCCCAGCAATGCCCAGAACGGAAGAGGGGTTGAATAGTTGACTAACTGCACAGCTTAAAAACAACTTCCATTTATGGCACTTCTGTGCCAAGCATCAAACTAAGCATTTATATGCAAGTTTCCATTCAATCCGAAGGTACCCAAATAAAAACAGACTGGTTGGGGGGAGAGGGTCTTCATTTTTCCCAAGAACTTTAGACATTTGCCCAAGGCCACAGCTGGTCAGAGGCCAGTCCAGTCCACCTGAAGGCCGAATCAGGCCAGAAGTCTTAACTCCCATTAGTGTTTAGTAAATAATGGCCCAAAGGCAATTTTAAGTGACATATGAATGCCTCCAGAATGATTCTGTAGTTTTAACTTTTTTTTTTTTTAAGGTAATCAGTACATGAAACCCATCATTGAGAACCAAGTACCCGCATGCGGCAAAAGTAGATAAATCTTTTTCTTTTTTTTGATAGGGTCTTGCTTTATCGCCCAGGCTGGAGTGCAGTGGCGCAATCATGGTTCACCGCAGCCTCTACCGTCAGGCTCAAGCAATCCTCCCACCTCGGCCTCATAAATCTTTTTTTAAGAGAGAAAAGTGTTCAAATACAGGTGGTAGGCAACATTGTGAAACTATTTTGAAATTGTGAAGTCTGGGTAACAATCAGAGCTGCTGTGGTTGCAGTGGGACGGGAGGGGAAGGGACAGCCCCTCACTAGACTGAAAACCAGGGCCAACTGGCACGTCATTCAAATATTTTTAAGCACCTAACACGGACCCAGGCCTAGAAAGAGAAAGGGGCTGCTGTGGGTTAGAACCTGGAGACCCGTCTCCGCCCTTCCCCAAAGACAGCCTCGTCCCTTTCCCAATGCCCGGGAAAGAAGACAGGAGGGTCCCCAAAGCCTGATTGGGCCTCCCAGGTAGTGAGCTCTCAAGGTTCGGGAAAGGTGGTCGGGTATTTGCCCTTCCCCAGCAACTCCCTCCTCTTGGCCCCTTACTCTCCCTCAAACTGGGGAGCAATAGAGGCTAAGGGTCCCGCAAACGCCATGCTCCGAAAGCACGCAAAGACCCCCATAAAGTTGGGGGTGGGGAGCGGGGGAGGTATCGCGAATCTGGTAGGCCTCCCCCAACCTCCCAGACGGCGGAAGTACGTCACTTTGTCCGCCCCGCGGTGCATTTTGGGAATTGTAGTGAAGCGGGTGGGGGACGCCTAGTGGCCGACGGTGTAACCCTTTAGAGACCAGAGCACGCGAGCAGAGCTGGGACAGGGTTAGAGGGGGCTCGGTCGCCCCCCTCCTTTAGCAAACTGAGGCAAAGCTCTGACTCGGGAGCCCTTAGTCCTCTCCCTCCTCTGGCTGTGGCGGGCCCCAGAGCCAGGGATTCCGGGGGAGGACGAAATGCCAAGTGGCCACCCCCACCCCCTCCTAGCTGGCAGCTTCTCGTCCCTTCTCTGAAGCCAATCAATCAGAGCTTCTCCGACCCGCCCCAGAAGCTGCTGCCTTCCTAATTCGTCACTGGCCCACCTTTGCTGGGCGAGGAAACTGAGGCTCAGAGAGGGCAAGACATTTTACCTAAAGCTGCACAGCAAATCGAAACAGAAGTTGGAAGCCCGGCAACCTATCCACCCACCCCCACAATTTCTGAACCCGGAGTAGCTCTGATCATTCGTATTTCGTCCTCGCCTCCCACCTTTGTGTCCCAGCTCCTCGCGGCGCGCCGAACTCCGGCCCCGAGGCGAGGAGGAGTAAGGGTTGCGCGAGGAGAGGCGGCGACCCCCGCAGCCAGCCGCTACCCGCCGTTCCCTTTAAGAGCAGGCCCCGGCGGGACTACGTTTCCCAGAAGGCTTTGCCGGCGCGTTATGTAACTTTCCCTGCGAAGCGGCCTCTGGGGCAGAAGAAGGAGGTGGAGGCGGCGGCGGCCGTTGCAGCGGCGGCGGCGAGAGCGGCGGGAGCCCTAGGCGGCGGTGAGAGAGGCCCATCGTGGGACCCGAGCTGTGCGCCTCGGCTTGGAGCCCGGACCGGGCGGGGGCGCCGACGTGCCTCAGCCTGCCTCTGCGAGGGAGGCGGGAGTGAGCAAAAAGGCTTAGGGCCCAGGGGGCGGGGAAGGGGGGCCGGGCCTGGATCCGGCTGGGAGGCCGAGCCGGAGGCCGGACCGTGGCTCGCGCTGTCCCGGGGACGCGGATCGCACGGCGGCGGCGCGGATCGCACGGCGGCGGCCGGTGGAACGCGGGGGCCGGGCGGCGCGCGGACTGGGGCCATGGCGTCTGTGCAGGCGTCCCGCCGCCAGTGGTGCTACCTGTGCGACCTGCCCAAGATGCCGTGGGCCATGGTGTGGGACTTCAGCGAGGCGGTGTGCCGCGGCTGCGTGAACTTCGAGGGCGCGGACCGCATCGAACTGCTCATCGATGCCGCCCGCCAGCTCAAGCGCAGCCACGTGCTCCCCGAAGGCCGCTCCCCCGGGCCCCCGGCCCTTAAGCACCCGGCCACCAAGGACCTGGCTGCGGCCGCCGCACAGGGGCCCCAGCTGCCGCCCCCGCAGGCCCAGCCCCAGCCGTCAGGGACAGGCGGCGGCGTCTCAGGCCAGGACCGCTATGACAGGGCCACATCATCAGGCCGCCTCCCCCTGCCCTCGCCTGCCCTGGAATACACTCTGGGGTCCCGCCTGGCCAATGGGCTTGGCCGTGAGGAGGCCGTGGCAGAGGGGGCGCGAAGGGCCTTGCTTGGCTCCATGCCTGGCTTGATGCCCCCTGGGCTGCTGGCAGCGGCAGTGTCTGGCCTGGGAAGCCGAGGCCTGACGCTGGCACCCGGCTTGAGTCCTGCCCGGCCCCTCTTCGGCTCCGATTTCGAGAAAGAGAAGCAGCAGAGGAATGCGGACTGTCTGGCAGAACTGAACGAGGCCATGCGGGGCCGGGCAGAGGAATGGCACGGGCGCCCCAAAGCAGTGCGGGAACAGCTACTGGCGCTGTCCGCCTGCGCCCCGTTCAATGTGCGCTTCAAGAAGGATCACGGGCTGGTGGGGAGGGTGTTTGCCTTCGATGCTACTGCCCGTCCTCCAGGATACGAGTTCGAGTTGAAGCTCTTCACCGAATACCCCTGTGGTTCTGGCAATGTGTACGCAGGCGTCCTGGCGGTGGCTCGCCAGATGTTCCACGATGCTCTGCGGGAGCCGGGCAAGGCACTTGCCTCTTCGGGCTTCAAGTACCTCGAATATGAACGCCGGCATGGCTCAGGAGAATGGCGGCAGCTGGGTGAGCTGCTGACCGACGGCGTCCGCAGCTTCCGCGAGCCAGCCCCCGCAGAGGCCCTGCCCCAGCAGTATCCAGAGACGGCCCCTGCGGCTCTTTGTGGCCCACCTCCGCGAGCCCCATCCCGGAACCTGGCCCCCACGCCGCGCCGTCGCAAGGCATCCCCCGAGCCTGAAGGCGAAGCAGCTGGGAAGATGACCACCGAGGAGCAGCAGCAACGACACTGGGTGGCACCCGGTGGCCCATATTC